CCTAATATCATGGTATTACACTGATGCTGGACGATAACTCAAATCATGAACATATACACCATGTTCAGGGGTAGCCTGAAACTTCAATGTGGCCTTGGCACGAAATTTCATTGAAGCGCAGAAATGGAGGCAGGGGGGACAGGGGGGCAACACCTGCCTTCGTCATCCGGTGATGTTGGAAGCAACGAGTTTACTGCGGAAGCATGAAGACACTGTCTCCCGATCCTTGCTTGTCCTGTTTTCTGTGCTGTCTGTTGGGCCCAGACCTTCTACGGCCACACGAACGCGGTCAATCATGTGTGCTGCAGTCTTAGGGGAGACATGGTGAGTTTCTGATGGCTCGATGCAGACAGTTAAGATAAGTGAGATTATCATCCCATCTATTCTGGACGCCAATTGCCTTACATTTCGGTACTTAGCTGTTTTAAGACCCTTTAGCACGACGACTTGTATCGCCAAGTCTGCCCCATACCTAAGTGGTGAAGGTATGTCTGGAGCCGTGATAGAAGCCTAGGCGTGAACAGCCGGTGCGACCTCCACATAAATCTTGCATACGTCCTCGGAGTGTCTTGCCTCATGTGCGGAATCAAAGGTTAAGAGGGACATACGTTCACGGGTGATGGTTTCAGGTGGCCTCTTGTGACGCTGATGGCGTGGTGAAAATGTGGGATGCGCGAATGGTGGCCGAAATAGGAACCATGGAGGCCGGGCAGCACCCTCTCAACTCCGTCTGCCTGGACAGATCAGCCACGAGGCTAGCAGCGGCCAGCAACGACGGCACGGTTAAGGCAAGAACGGCAGATTTCATACCGTGCTGAGGTGTAGACGTGGTCGACAAAACGGAAATCTATAACTGAGTACCGAAGGAGATGTACCACTTCGGGCGAAAGCTGCCCGATCCCCAAGCAAACTGGAGCACAGTTTTGTTTAGAGGCCCCAGCAGGTTGTTTCGGCTCAACATGTTCTGCGGCGATAGCGATTGGGTGGCACTTTTTGCCAGCAAAACAGGCCCCAACCCTGAACAGGTCCCCACTCTCACCGCCGTCCATCGCCCACGTGTCACAAGCAGGTGTTCGACACGACTTCGAGGGCACTAGTGGTTGAGTTAAAGGGGCACGAAGACGCCGTGCAGAGCGTGCTATTCAGCCCGGCCGACGATAGCCTGGTGTCGACGTCATCCGACTGCACGTTTAGGGTCTGGTCGTGACCGTTCGTCTCGAACAGCCCACCTGTTCTGCTCTCTTTTGGTCAACAAACCGTGCATACTTTTCGTATGTTCCGCCTCGCAGCTCACATGCAACGTTAATGCTCGAAAGGGTCTGTAGGCCCATCCTTTCTTAGTGGCTACTCGAAACCACGGCTTTCGTCCAGCCGGTTGTACGACGTCGATCTGACCCAGTGCATGCCGATTGCAGTTGTCGTTCTGGCTCCTAGTGCTTAGCTTGGCGGGTACGTGGGGCGCCAAAACACTCTGTTGGTATCATGTAGAACGATAGTCTAGACAACCCTCACCTTAGGTTTGCATCCAAGTCCGTGTTTTCTCGTGCACGCATGCTTGTGGTTATAACCGAGACTTGAAGGCGAGAGCAAAAGTTTTTTGTAGAAACGATGAGGGGCTGCTTGTGATTGTTTGATGGCATGCCGGGAGAAGCAAAGTGGCTTGTCACTGCGTTTCATCTCAACGATGGAGGAAGGTCCGAGACACGGAGAAAAACGAAAGGTTACAAACGTCCCGTCACAAAAAATACTACGCGTATGCACAACAATGGCTGAGGGGGCGTTCTGGTACAACGAACTATTTGTAGAAGTGAACCATTTGTAGAAACGGGCGATTTTTTTAGCCGACGAGTTTCATCCATGTAGTGCACAGATTAGATATCCTGTGTTCCTGGATATGGATTTCTCTTCCACAGATAAAAATTCCGTATTGTTACTTACTCATGCGGGTAAATCTGTTACCAACCCGTTCCATATCCACGCCACATGCAAATACATAAGACTACATAGCCCAACTTTCACGTGTAGACTTTGGAACAACATGTCCAAGTCTATCTAGCTGTCGAGATTATTAGCGAGTCGAGCTAGGCCAGGCACGCCTGCCAACATGCGTGTCAGTGTGCCCGTTGCCTCCAGCGCGCAAAGCTTATCGATGTGGGGATTGTACTGTATGTAGTCTATCGTCCGCCACCAGCTGCTACCGCAAGCAGTTTTCGGGTGCGCCCTACACTCTGCTTACCCTTTACTTCCTCTGTTCCAAAAAATAGGACGTTTTGGAAATATCCGAAATGTAAGGCCCTTTCAAGTTTAGGTGTTGACTGCTCTTTTCCTGGCGCCGTTTTTATTTATCATGCTTGGACAAGATGATAGCCGGGGGCATGGTATCAAAAAAACAAACAAAAAATCTCCCCCGGATGGAAAACCATCGCCGATATTGATTTCCAGAGAAAGGGTCAGTGGCGAAACAGGGGCGTCTTTCTTTCCTTCCTGCGTGAAGGAAAAGGCTCCCCTTTCGTCGTTTTCTCCAAGTTGCAATCTTGGCATTCTAAGCTACCCAGGGATGCCCGCATTCCTTTTTTTTATGTGTCCTTCGGTTCCAATCGGTGAAAATAGTAAAAGTTTCAAGCATGAGAAACTTCGAGGAGCAGAAACGGGGGGAAGGTGTTGACAAAAAAAAATGGAACGGTGTTTTTTCGAGGAAAAAAACATGTTCCGGCTGAGAATCGGACTTACGGCTTTCTCACTCACCCGCTATCGTGACATGTTTTGCATTTACTTGCTAAATTCCCTATATTTTGGAACAGAGAAAGTAAGATGTTGTGTGCGCGTAAATAAATGTAACTATATTTTTCACTTAGCTAGCTGAGGTTGCAGCCAGCCCTGGATCCACGCCCAGATGCAGGATTACATGTTGCAGATAGATATGTACTGTAGATAATCCTGTAGATGTTGAGAGAACCCGAGGACCTGCCATGTCAGTTAATTTCAAGCGGGAGAGATTATCCAAGTTCGATAGCAACCCTGCTCCCAACGATATGCGAAAGATCGCCTCTGTCACCCATTCAAGGGTTGTGGACTAGACTACATGCACAACATGTAATATAGTCTGTTGTTGTCAAATTTATCGGTTCTCCCTACCCACAGCAGTAGTACGTATTTATTTAGTAGTGCCTTCTTCTGTCCGTACCAGTCCAACACTTGACGTGGTCGATTCCCGTGGTTACAGACTAACTTTCCCAAATAAAGTACCATCTTACGAAGATATAAAATGTACCCGTATCGTCAGCTACCCACGTAAGTCTACAGCCCTCCGCTCTCCTCTACGGTTAGAAAAATGTGACTTGCTGATGGTCCGCCCTTCAAGGTCTAGATCGATACTCCGTCATGAACGATGCTCGTTGTTAACATTGGCTTGGGATGCTGCTACATTTTATCTGTGTGTATTGACCCCGTGAATACAGTTGTCTAGAGATCATTTCGCCGTGTGGATATCGGTGGCTCACTCCTTAATTGGCACCTCAGCACAGCAGCATCTCAGCCTTTGTGTGCGTACTCCTGTGATACCCACCAGCATGCCTGGGTACGTGGACAGCTGTACCTACATCGTCTTCTGCGTGTGGTTGTACACAGGGCAAGTTGGAATCACCTACCGTGGATAGAAAAGAGCGCCGACGGTTTGTGTGAGGAGCTATGAGGGAGCGAGCGAACATCGAACCAAAGGCCAGCGAATCAGGGAATGGGCGCGTAGCTGGGGTCTCCGCGTCAAGATCCAAGATTGCCTGTCTTGGACTGTCTGCTTGTTGTTTTGCAGGCTCTGTATTTCCGTCGAAGAGACCAATAGTCCACACGCGACGCGTGACGTCACGCGCGACACGCGGTGTTCCGTTTGCCAACTCAGATAACCTGTATCCTCCTACCCTCTACACACCGCCGCCGCTCGTGCTGTGGAACTCATGTGTCACCTGTGACTGCGCTCCCACACCTGCTTGCCGTCGGCCATCGAACTCGTCACTGGTCACTGCTGGTCACTGCTGCGAGCTCATGGACTTGTCCATGGCGCCAACAGAAGAAGGGGCAGGCAAGCCCAGCAACTGATTTTTCTTTTTCTAGACCATGAGCGTGTCTCTAGACATGACGAATCCAGTCTGAGATGCTCCTGCTGCTGCAGAGCAGCAATGAATCCATAGCGTGAGCAGAAGCTACCTCTATTTCCACGATTTCCATAGCAGCAGGTACAACGGTATCTCGGTATCTCTGGTGTGGGGTACTGCATAACAGGAGTTGAATTCCTGTGTTCGCATGCATTCGTTTTTTGTTTTTGTTTGTTTTTCTCCCATCATTGGACTCTGTCGTCTGCCCCTCTGGCCCCTATCCTCCACTTCTACCAGCTAGACGATCCAACCGGGGTCACATAGGATGGGGGGGTTGGACCCCCTCCTGCGGTTCCTGCCTGAGATACCACCAAGAAAGTCCATAAAAGGCTTCTTCTCTGCCCAAAGGGATTTTAAAGGGATTGTTGTGATCGACTGAGGGTGTGAGGTGGGTGTTGTTTGGAAGACTCGTTCATGGACGGGCGTGTAGTTAGACTACAAATGATTATTTGTAGAAAAGAAGGTATGCACATGTAGCAAATTCGAACGGCAACAGCTTTTCAACCCAAGAGATCAAATTCCTAGATACAGATACATAACCAACCCTAACCCTAACCCTAATCCTAACCCTCACTCCCGGCCTAGCGGCCGCGAACTGTGCTCAAACGCGGGCCAAAACGCTTCTGCGCCGCCTTGTCGGAATGCGGAAATGGGGAGAGGGCGCTGGAGAGGAATCGACCGCCCAAACAACGCTCGACCAATCAGAGGGCGTAAAAGCTCGTAGATGGGAGGGTTCCGGATTGCGGATATATCCCCATTTCGCCACTACATTGTTGCGGTGCCGCATATCTGGAACACGAAACGCCCTTGCAGCCTGCAGTGTGTCTTGCACTGAGTCCTGTTAGCCTCGCCATGTATTCATGTTCAGGTGTGGAAACTATTAATAGCAAAAAGCCTCGTGTGATCTTGCTGGGAGGTGGATTAGCTGGCCTGAGATGCGCTCAACAGCTGGTGACGGAGCATGGCTTCAGCACAGAAAACGTTGTGCTTCTCGAGGCGTCGACGAGGATTGGTGGTCGCATCAGAACTGATAAGTCCTTCATCGAGGGATTCTCCGTAAGTGGCCCATTTACACGTGCACATGGACACATGCCGTCAATCTCGCCGTTGAAGGACTGATGATGATGCGTCGCCGTCGTCCGTCCTCCTTCGACCTAATCCGGACACTTCCGGCCTGCAGACCACTGTTGTTGCCGTTGCAGTTGTATGGCAACGTGTGGCAATCGTATGCATACAGCCGCCACGAACTACCCTGTGCCCACGTGTCCACCGCAGCTGTCCACGCGGACCCTTTCCTTTAGCTCTTCCAGCAGTTTATGTACTGATACTCATGACTACTAAGGTCTACACGACGTGAAGCTGAGCAGCCAAGTGTCGATCGATGTCGAGATCCTCTTGTGAGATGTTTGTGAAACGCGCTATTTCGATATTCCTCCTGTTTGCACTGTTGTCGACCATTTCGTATCAGCGGTAAAGTTATTTCCCGGACTTGACCTGAACGTGTACTGCTGTACTGCCCAGCTCGACTTGGGAGCTGAGTTGGTCCATGGTGATCAGACTTCGCTCTATCGGCTCGCCGAGGAAAAGGGCTGGAAGATGGAGGAGCTCATTTCATTGGCGCAGGGTGACGGGGGTCCATTGCCGGCAGACAGCAACGACGGGTGGGGGCTCTTCTACGTTGGGGGCGAGAAACGCATGCTTGCATTGGACTCAAAGGTGCTGGCAAGAAGTTGTGTGCACTCGTAACCGTCGACGGTCAAGGGAAAGATACGTCGCGCGCAGTGAGATGGGGTCGTATTCGACTGCGAGAATGCGGGCGGTGTTGGACTTGGCTGCGTGAGTTCCAAGATACCAGGTGCCCATGGAGTGCGCCAAAAGCAATGCCCCGCGTACTCTCGGCAAGACCTTTGTCTTTCTGGAAAAAAATTGAACGCCTGAACGCTCAGAATGCGAAGGGCAAAATTCCACCTTGACTAATGGGCCGGCCGGCCCTATCTGGTTCTCTATTATGCAAACATCCATCTTGATGTCGCGGTCTTGGGTTCCACTGACCTCGTCGGGCCATATAGATAGGTCTGTTAGGATTTCGCAAATACGGATCTCGTAGCACTCGTAGATCTTGGAAGCATGTGAAAGTCTTTCCACGGCAACATTGTGTGTTGATATTCGCGCCGGTGGGTTTTGTCGCGTGGGTTGGCGCCAACCGCTTGCAATGATCGATTTGAACTGCGGACCAGATCAAGTTTCCTAGGCTACGGTTTCTTCAACGATGCGACCAATCCGATTGATTGGTTGTCAGGACCCAGCCTTCGTGCACCTGAACGACTATCTTGGAAGCCTGGCCGACTTGTGGCCTGCGATCAAGCTCCAAGAGGGGCAACTCGTACTCGAGGACGAGGACGGACCATCTGAGATTGGCCCTATGGAGTTGAATCCTCCTCCCTCATCAGGAGGAGAAGCGGCAGTAGCAATTACAACAGCGAAAGTAATATCACCCCAGCCGTTGCAGCAGCGGGGGCAGCGGCGGCGGCAACCCCTCTCGCTGCGTGACGGGCTTGAGGCGGCCGGCGTGGGGAAGTCGATGATGGGCGTCGCTGATGCTGGGTGCGTGAGTATGAAGCACAGACTTCCGACGTAAACGTACCTGCAGTATCAACGTCGTCACGCGTCTGCATGATATGACGTCTTCCTTCGCACACGCCAGCCCACGACAATTCTGCAGTGTTGGTATGTACGTTCATTCAAGTCACAACGTGTGTTTTGTCGATCACCTGGTGCCCAGATACGCGAACACTGTCGGGGCTGCTCTGGAAGACACGAGCCTGGCGGGCACGTGCTACGTGGAGCACGAGTGGGACGTGGACGGTGATCGCACCTTCGTGCTCCAGGTCAACACGTGTTGCGGATCAGGAGGAGCAATAAACCTCTCAATCGCAGTGCAGCCGACAGGGCGACCGCATATCGGTACAATCTTGTCGAGCTGCTCGAAACAATTGCCTGTTTCAGCTTTTTCTGCCCCGCTCTCTTGTGTAGGGTTGGCACAAGGATGCCGCGAGTGTGCTGCTGGGAGTGCAGCAAATGGCACGTTTTGCAAGTGCACAGATCCGGGCACGTTGCTTCGAGCTCATGTACTGCCGGAAAACACTGCTGCTCCTGAAAATTTGCCCTCGGTTGGTTGTCAAGCATCGAATACACAACTGCGAAGCCGAAGAATCTGTTTCAAGGGTGAAACCTCGGTTCCTTCTCTCAATGACTCCATCCCGCAACAACCAGGGCTCTTTGGGGCAAGTGGTAGACGAGCTGAGCGCCGGACTTGAAAGGTGCGGTGGTTGAGTTGTTCCCCCGGTTTCATTTAAAAGGCTTGGGATCAACGCAGCCTATGTTCGTAGGGTCAACGCAGAAGATTCTGGAACAACTGTTAGCTGGGAATTCGGCACAACCCTCTGTAGGTGCGGAAGCCCCTTGAATCGCACCGCGTTGGAGATACGAAGGCAACCACGGGTGTGCCTGCTGCTCCTAGGTCTGAAAGACGTTGGGGGCTACCAAGGACACCTTGCGCCGTTCTGTGCTCCATTTCCCTTTTGTATCCACTAGTCACTAAAGGGTTAGACTTAGGTATGTCATCCTCCGGTTGGATTCATGTACGACCGACCGACGCTTGCAGCGGAATTAGAGAGCGATTCAATTAAGGTTGGCATACTTTGGCTCCGGGCGATTAATTGGTCTTGAATTTGTTTTTGTCTCTGGTGCCACGTTCATGTGCCCTTGTGCTTGCTTAACTGCAACGTGACTCTTCGCATACCTGCTGCGGCTACACTGCGAACAATGCTGCTGGTCCTGCTGCTGAATACTATTTATAGTTGTATTCAGACGGATTGGCCTGTGTCTAAGGTGGAGTTCACCGCGTCAGGGCTGGCGACGGTCACGTGCAGGGATGGGCGAATAGAACAGGGCACGCACGTCGTGAGCGCCTTGCCGCTTTCGGTCCTACAGGATGGGGTAAGTGCCACCCGGATGTCCCTTTCTGCACCCCTGACCCCGTACTGCTCCAGTCCAACACATCCAACGTCGTGGGCGTTTGTTCATGGAAGAAACCTTGTCACGTTGATCGCAATACCGGTTGTAAATTGTAAATCGCCCTCCAATCATGGGCAAAGGTGGCACTGGGTGTGGTCTAGACGTCAGGCGTAGCACCCTCGATGCACGCGTTAGATATGCATGGCAGCTACAAGTGTTCACAATGGGCACCGCGGCGCATACGTTCACACATCAATGGGTCCCCGCATCATGTTCAGGGGCCCCCAGTAATGTTCAGGGGCCCCCAGCGTATTCCACCATTCTGTTGTTGCGCCAGATGCACAATATTTCCAATGACATTTGGTCTTAACTTGTGCCATAGCGTAATCCTCTGAGCTGATAAAAATGTGTTTTGGGGAAGTGCTGCGAGCAATTAAAGGGCTCGCGCCCCGCAAACGGGCGACCTTTTGGGACATGAGCATTTTGTCGCGAGCCTTGCCGCTTCGAGAAACGAATCTCCTTGTTCGCTTCCTCGCCACCACGCCTTCGTGCAAGCAGCACCGCTTCCCTCTTTGGCATGTATATTATCATAGCCGTGTAAGCACCTTGATATTTCTCTTGAACAATGCTGAAAACCTCCCGCCTCTGCTGCGTCAACAACATGTAGGATGTGGAATTCGTACCTCCGCTTCCAGAGGCGAAGCTGTCTGCCTTTCAACACATGGGGCTCTGCAGCATCGTGAAAGTGATCCTCAAATTCGATCGCCGGGTGCTACCACAACTGCTGCACGGCTGCATCTGCTCGGAGAGTTTTATCCCGGAATTCTGGTTTAGGTGCGCTCAAGGAGACTTCGAGAAATTTTGAAATGCAGAATGTGGTCTACACCAACTACGAGGTTATGACGGTTCTGGGGAGCTTGCCTTTGTCCCACTGATGTAATGTAGGTTGGGATCGAATACTATACCTGGAGGATTAAATAATCTAACCCTAACCCTTCACCGCTGTGTATCACCCTGTGTATGTACCTCTTCCGTGGTACTACCCCACACTCGATGTGACGATTAAGACCCCCCCCCGCACTGCTCACACCCGACACGAATTTTTGAACACCCATGAAGGCATTTGCCTAACCTGCCCGAGGGGGGCTACACTATGCTCGCGGTCGGCTTTGCTGCGGGGCCTCGCGCAGACGCGGTGACGTCTGTCAAGCCAGAAGAGGCTCTCAAGAAGGCCCTTGACCAGCTGGACGACATGTTCAGGGGACGAAAGTGGCTTGAGGGTGGTGGGTGCACCGGTAAAGGCGATTGGGAAGAAGCGGTGGAAGGAAACACCGGTATTGCACCGGAGCACTGCGAACCGCACCGTGAGACCAGCGGTAGCGGGGGACAAGGCGAGGGCACACTAGCGGAGCTTCCGAGCTCAGCGTATGTCGGAGGCCTAGTTCACGATTGGGTGAAAGACGAGCCGTTCGTGCGGGGTGGTTATTGCTACCCGCGAATCGGGTTCGACGAGACTACTCATGCTCATCTGGCCGCTAGCATCAACGGGACGCTGTTCTTTGCTGGAGAACACACCAATACACCAACCGGGATGACGGTCCATGCTGCGATCGACTCGGGAGATAGGTAAGATGTTTTTGCCAACAGTCACCTCGTTTCCCCAAAATTGTCCAGTTTGAAATGTATCAATCATTGCCCATGCTGCTTAATTACGCACGTTCTGGTTGTCATAGTGAAATACCATTCGCCCAATTGGGTCGAAACCGACACGACACCAGAACACGGTTCGCTATTTTGCTAGCTGGGAGGCACCGCCGTGTATCGCAAAAGAGTTGAAAAAAAACAATACGGTGAGATCACGATGGTTCCTTTTCGGTGCTCGGGGGGGTGTGTGTCCGTTGGGCCGAACTGCACAGGGCTGCTTCAGACGTGCTCCAAGCAGTCCAACGGGCACCCCAAGAACGAGCAAGCGGAACTGCCGCACAAACACCCTAGACGAGAAGGGTTCGCCGGGGCTCAACGTGCCGCCGCCTTGCTTGAGTGCGGGACATCAAGGGACCATTTTATGTCATCTGGGCGCCGGAGAGCGCCTCAACGGCCGTGCCAGAACTCCGCTGCCTTGCTGACCAGCAGACATGTGCGATGATATGCGTAACTGTCGGCGGCCGTACGTGCCTTGGCATGGTCGTGCGCATTGGATGTTAGGATTGTCCGGTTTGAACCGGTTTTTGTGCGTGTGAAGCACAATTCCATTCCCGGAAGTCGGAAGGGTGTTTTCTTGGATTTCTCTCTCCACCTGCTAGCCCTCTTGATTCTTGCTGTGCGAGAGTGCATCGGTGCACGGGACAGGCTCCAGCTGTTGGTCATCAGCGTGTATGCAGTTGCGTGCTGTCTTACTTCTACCTATGCTTGAACATGGAACTCCGTCAATCCGTGCTCTCATAGGCGAAAAGGTAAAAAGGGTTTCGCACAGCATGCTCAATGAAGGGAGAGTCATCACTGGACTGATCCTAAGTGCAAACGTAGCCAAAACGATCCATCAAAGTTATCGTTACAAACAAAAAATAAGACAAAACAAGTTACAGAATCCACACACCCCACCAACAAGCATTTTTGGAGAATGCCACACATAAAGCCAGAATTCTGTGTATGCCCCTGGACAAAGATATGTCTGGAGCTTGCTTGTACCCTATGGGCATTGTCTGAAGTGGCGCTACCCCTCCGGGGTATTGTCATTGTGGTGACGTCACAATCAAAGGCTCGAAAATTTCTCTGACTCGTGTAGCGTGAGCCTCCTTAGTGAGCTCTTGCGGTATCATCGGCGACAGATCCTGCTCCAGTGCTCTGCGGGCGCAGTCCACTGCCGCATAGGCATTCTGTGTTGAAACAAAAACAGTTGAGGTAAGAAGGATACAACTGGCTCATGGGAACCACCTGGGGTTGCTGAAGAATTTAGTAAGAAGGATTAGTAAGCAAAAATGGAGGAGAGAGAGGACCACCTCCTCTAGGTAGTGGTAGGCACCCATGGCTCCCAATCCCCCTCAGGGCGGCTGAACACTTGACACCGACGTGGGGCAACAGGAGGCCCAATACCTGTTTCGTTTTCGTTGGTGATGGTTTCCACTTACTACGTGCTCACCCCGCTATAATGCGCGATGCGCAAAAACTAGTGATACACTGCTCAGAATGTTCTCATCACGTTTACGTACACACAAAGGTTTATACCAACGGTAGAACTGTTGTAAGACAACAAGCTAGTTGACTACTTGACTAGTTGACTACCCTACGCAAGAGACGAGAATCCTCAGGTTTCGAGTCAAGTATCGGAATAGAGCACACGACCGTTAGCAAATGCGAACGTACAAGGGGAATGTCTCAAACAGAAGTACCGGGTTTCAGCGGTAGCCTCGAGGCCTTACATGCTGTTCGAAGGAGCACACGTATGGCTCTCCGACGCGTTGTGCCAGGAATGGGTGTTGGGAGTTGTAGATCTTCTTCTCGGGCCTGAAGAAAATAGGGTTAAGGTAGGCGCACCCAGCTGTCACGGCATCCACGGCGGATGGGCCCAACAGCGGGTTGCCTGGATCCCGTGCCGAAAAGGAGATGAGAGATTGACGTGGCACCAGCGAAGACATCATTGGCAAACTTGATGGTCAGGGGGTCCATGGACTGATGGTCAGTGGGTCCATGGACAAGAGCTTCGCCCCGATCGTTCTGTTGTCGACCCAGTAGCGAACTACAGGGGATGTAAATGTATCCACCTGTACAGATGCTTTTGTTCTTAGCGCCAACTGGCATCACTGATTGATATATATCAGTGTAGACTATACAATGTAGGCTTACACAAATTCAAAATAAACCCAGTTTCCTGTCGGTTTCAATTCACTTACTGACAAAATTTCAACGCACCCCTTTCGACTGAGGTTATATCTCGAACGGGGAGTCTTTCTGTGAGACTATGTTCACTTTCTAAAAACATCTCCCAGTGATGTGTCTTGCGAAGCTGACGGTCAAGGTCTCGACAGAGCGATTGGATCCGGGTTGGCCTCGCGAGTGCTGTTTCATCCGTAACCACGAAGATCGCTCAGGGTTACAACAACGGAATCTTGAGAAGACGCCTGAAGTACACGTGATTCGACTGGTGCAACGATAGGGGTGCACCAGACCTTCCAAGGGCCAAAAAGTAAGGAGTGACCTCGATCAACACGTGACTTTCATTGAAGGGCTAGGCGGATCAGTGGTAGCGTTTCCAAGTTTCACGATATTTCAAGAGTATGGGCACGTTCCTCAGCTGAGGAACCCCGAAGATGAAAAGATCATGTACCTTAACGTATTGCCGTGGATGGGCCATTGCGGCAACTGCTGGTTTCAAGATACACGTCTGTGTTATGGTATTTGGAGTAAGACATTGATCGTGGCGACGGCTCCGCTGGTGCGTTCTGACGTGCGTTCGACGGAGCTGCTAACTCCAATCGAGTGCGTGTGTGAGGCATAGATCAAACTCGTGGATTGAGATGAGTACAAGTACTCGTTGGTGGATTCGGCGATGTTTGAAATGTCAGGCCCGCAAAACTGCGCGCCAGACGATGCGCTGGCCGATTCTCACGGTCCCTCTGCCTTCGGCACCAGGGGTCGCGATTAGCGTCGATCTATTTTGAGACTGACTATTGCTTCTTCGTGTTTCTAGCACTGCGGAAGGGCTCACCTAGGCCGATGATGAACTTTGACTCCTGTAGCAACTGATTCCACTCGTCTTGGGGGAGATAGCCGTGGTACACGATGTTGTCATGCCTGCCGAGAAATCGAACGCAGTGATGAACATCTTCACTCAAATTGTAGGAAGAAGCCCAGTGAATGGAGTAGGCGGGATTTCTACACGCCCAAGGATGTCCTTCTGTTACAGGCCCGTCGTGAAACAAGCAGGCAAAGCGGTACACCAACTGCACAGCGGTGGCCATATATGCGCCATGCCTTCCTGACCGACGCATGTATTCTACTCGGCAGAGAAAGATGCCCTGAACTCGACCGCTGTCCGACCAAACGCCCATCTGCGGGCACTCTTCTAGACGAATGCTGGGTCAGATCAAGTCTATACGTTTTACAACAAAGGGCGCATGCTTACATGATGAACGCGTCCTCAGGCGCTACGGTTGAATGAAGCTCTACCATGTCGGCGAGGGCTAGGATGAGTCTTCTGTTTCCGAAGAGCTTGTCCTTTGTCTTACCCCAGATGACTCCTTGCCGTCGCTTTGTCGCCGGTTTACTCAAAGGTATCTTGTTTCGTCTGATTCGGCCGAAGGACAACAGTGACGCGCAATGGCAATGGCAGAAAGAAAATGCCAAGAGGATACCAGCGGGGTTTGTACTTCGTCGAGCCAAGCCACGGTAGCTCGACACACGTCAGCATAGCCAGCCCACAAACTGCTACACTTTCCAAACTGTTCATGGGGTAGATAGTACAGTCTGCGGCCGTACGGAAAGGAATCACCTGCAATCTTGATGCTGCCCACCAGACCTTCATGGTGAGTATTGACAACGTGATGCTACAGTAGTATCGTTTCCTCAACGACTAGAAAAAAAACACTACCGTCACCCAACCATCTGGATAGTGCCAAAGCCCAACCGTATATGTTCAGAATCGCTTAAACATCCGAACGACGATGGACACATTAGGCGGTTATCGTGATCCACAGAATCATGGCCCAGGAAGAGGTTTCACAAATGGGATTTGGACCTCCGAGGCGTTTTCATTCTCTACATTGGGCTTCCCATTGGAAAGATTTCCGCCGAGTTTTGTGCAGGGTCTATCCCATGAACCTGCTAATTGAACGATGCTTTCAAAAAGAATCCAGAAAACGATTCTGGGAAGCTGGCAGGAGAATTAGTCCCCGCTAACCTCTGCATACAGCTCACTTAGGATCCACTTGATACCCCAGAAATGTCCGCTGGTGCTCCGCCGTAATCGGAAAGGCTGTAAGGTGTCGCTTTAGCGGCACTCCCAAGTTTGCATGAGGCTCGTCCGAGCCGAAATAGTCTAGAATGAACATCTTGCCCCGATGGTCTTCAAACTGGGACTTTAGTCGCCCACCTGGGTTGTGCCACGAGATGGGAAGTCGGGACAGACGATGAAGAAGAGATGCTCTATGTGGGGAGTAAACGGCTGATCAGTCTTCATTGTCATACTATCTAATGATATGTCGGGACCAACAAAAACGATTCATGAGATTATCCTTGGAGCAAAATCGCACCGCTCGAGCACACTTGTAGGTCTATACGCAAAGCCCTATTCACACCTACAGGGTGTGGAGGGGGATAGCCTCGCCCGCGGATACAAACCGACGAGCAGTGCCCCTCGGCGTCGGAGAGATGTGAAGATACCAAAAATCAGGTTTTCCTGGATTACCGGTTTCGAGGTAAGGCGATGGGTTTTGCCTCTTTTCTTCTCTTCTTTCTGTCCAAAACCAACCCCCTTCGTTCTCTGCGTGTTGGCGAAAAGCACGACTTCCTCGGGTAGTTTTCTTCGCCTTGATTTTACGTGGGGAAATTAGCATTGGATGGCTGCGTTGTTCATAAAGAGTACGGGGGGGGCTGGTTGGAGCCCGAACGACAACACCGACAACGACGATGACGAAGACGACGACGACAGCAACGCCAACAATAGCAACGACACAATGGCGATGATGGGCGCGTGGCTATATTTCTGCGACAAGAAGTATTTCCTTTGTTTGTGGTACTTGGATATGAGTCCGATCTGTGCATCCTGTGTGGGGGATACGCGTATGGAAAGTATGGGTGTGATGGGTATGTTTGCGGTTGGGGTCCAAGTGCGGTCCCCCCGGGTGAGCACACGGCGGTGTGCTCCCGGCACTTGCCTGAGGGGCTTGCGTGTTGGTGACCAGCTTGCCTGGGGGGCTTTCGTGACGGATATATTTTGTACATGGTCCTTTTTCATCTGCTGTTCCTGGGATAACATTGCACCCAGTCTCAACATCACAGACCGCTGAGGGCGGCAGGGCACACTCACACGATACTTGACCAGTTTTTGATTGACCGGAAACACGTACCGTAGTCTTTGTAGCTGTTTGTGGACAGGAATTGCCAAGACAACGCCTCCTGATGACATACGACGTCACCAGCCTCCACCAACCATCGTTGTCCTCAGCACAGAAATCCAAGAAACAATGATTTCCTTCGATACATGGTTTCCTATTCTATCGCAAAATCGGGCCATACACAATAGTATTGTCCGGGCAATTGCCGCACCCACACCATCTGATTCCAGTAGTACTCAAACCCGAACAAGAGTCAGACCTCAACACACGCTGCGCGTAACCCGGTTGCTACGTGGTACCCGGTGTCTCTCATGATCTCCACCGTCTTCGCCTTACCCTTTCCTGCCCAGGTCCAAGGGTCGACAACAACTGCGTTGTAGATATCCATTGCGTCGGCTCGTCTTTCAAAGTCACCATCAGACGTAGCCACCTCCACCTTAAGGGTACAGATTGTACAGACGAGCGCAAAAAAAAGCGTGGGATATCGAATGTTACAGAAGACGGTGAAACACCGCGCTTCGGAGCGATGGTAACAAAACGGCACTCAAGCGCAAGTGGGGCGTATACAGCTGTAGCGCATTAACTATTTAGGCAAGACTTTGCAGGGAGAAGTAGTACACCGGGGCAACACCCATGGCTCCAAGCACACTTAACACTTGCATGTAGCTCATCACGATGGCCGCCAAACCCTCCCGGCGATGTATGTTTGTTTGTTTTGTTGTTTGTTTTCCTCCCATCATTGGACTCTGTCGTCTGCCCCTCTGGCCCCTATCCTCCACTTCTACTAGCTAGACGACCCAACCGGGGTCACAAAGGAGGGGGGGGTTGGACCCCCTCCTGCGGTTCATGCCTGAGGTATTTTTATCGCGAGAAGGGTACAGCAATCCCTTCCCTCGCGACTTACAAAGTCGATTATGGTTTACTAACAAACGAGCTTTGCAGCGCGTCGCTTTCATTCTAGACCAGGATTTATTTAGTGAGAAAAAAACTCTCTCTGCCGGGACTTGAACCCCTGACCTGGCCCTTAGCAGGCTGCGAGGCTACCCACTAGACCACCGGGGCGACCGGTATGTAGTCTACCCAATGCTTCTCCGGATACAGCACGGGACAGATCATGCATACAACCTCAACGTCTCACAATCTCACAAAACACGCCAGGTACCACAAGATTGTTAGGTAGACTGCCCCAGATTCTTACCAACACGTTGTTTGGACAATTATGCAAATGTTCTGAAATCCGTTCAGCACACTTCCAGATCAATCGACTATTGACAAAATGAGACACACATGATTTCGCTGTGAACCAGGGATGAAACACAGTTGAAGCTTCCAGGTCACTCCTTGTACATCGGCTACCTTTGTCGGAAAGGTCAAAGCAGCCATGGAATACATTCAAAGGGGAAAATATGACATTATCACTTATGTGCAGGCGAAAAACTTCTTCCCACCTCAACGCCAGCTTCCGTCAATGTCTTTGTTAAGCTCTCACGAATGATGATCTCTCCGGCTGGTCCACCCTTCATGCTCTTTGCCACCGTCGTTTGGATCGAGTCCATCGTATAGATTAAAACCCGCATCCCCTTTCCCCAAACAAGCCCTCTGTGGTCAAAACCAGTGTGATTTTCTCCACCAATGCCACTGCTTCCACGATTGCTCACCCTGAAACCCCCTACACTACTATCTCTCCGATCCCCGGGAGGCGCGACGGACCGTGGATCTCCGAACACGGGGAAATCATTTGACCCGCCGCTCCCATGCAAGCTATTCGAAAGATGCATCTGCAGCTCTGCGGGCATTGCTTCACCACGCCGGCCAGCACTATATGCCGTGTTCTGGCTGGCAGTCCTGCGGCGGTGGGACCCGTGCGCAGGAGGTCCCTGTCCAAGTTGATCAATCGGCTGTTGATCTCGGGAAGGATTCCAACCGGGGCGCAGAACGAAGAGCAGCCTTCCTACAGTGAGGTACAACAACAGGGACGATATGACGTTCAGCGCACCACGTGCGGGCTGCCCATGTGGTCGTGCCATGCCCTGGTCCTGCGCGCGCGGGATAGTGCAGTGTGGTGTCGCAACGTCGCAACGAACAATCAATCACCTCATCACCGAAGAGCAAACAGCGATGGGGAACCGAACCATCTGGTCTTTCTCTTTTTTGTTCCTCTTCGGAGGGTCGTAGGCGTCATATTTCGCCGCTGAGATGAGCCATCAGGAGAGAGGAAAACCGGATAGGAGCGGGCACTTGGAGCGTAGAGGGAGGTTGTGTGAAACCAGAGAGGGGGAACCGGGCGGGTAATTCTGTCATGGAGCTGCTTAGTCAAGGGGCCGAAGCGGTGAGATCGCCACCCACTTTTTGCGTATCGCACTCCGTTGATCTCGTGTGGCCTGCAACAACAGTAGTAGAAGTAGTGTCAGTACTGCTTTTGCGCCCCCAGCGACTCACGTCCTGCTTTGAATAGGCGATCAAAACGGTTGGGTTTCAACCACTCGCGCGCTGTTGATTTCTACGACTGCTCGTGCTTACCAAACACAGCGGGTCTTCGCCACGACGTTCTGCGGCCGTCCGTCGGTGGTCAAGGAGCGCTTCCGAAAAACCTACCGCCTGCCGGCTCTGGATGAGAAGCTCACAACAAGGAGAACGTTACAAGTGGGTCGGAAGGCGTTGGATCGTACACATGCAGATCTTAAGCGATATTTGTTTGGATATGGACCCATGGTTCCATCCTTTCCCCCTTTATCCAGAGCGGCGTGGGTTGATGTGATGCCCTCATACCCATCTGGCGAGCACAAGCAGCAGTACGCCTCGATTTTCTGTCGCGTGTGTCACCGAAAAAAATGCGGTGCGTTGTTGAAATCAATGCTGGTGCATTATTTCAGTCGTGTGTGGCTGTTTCCGCAGCATGTTCATATTTGTGTTTTTCACGCTCATGGTGTAATAGTGTCGGCGGAGTATTGTGTGGGTGTACAGCAGTATGCGCTGATGGTTGCCTCATTTTCGGCTGGGGTCCGCAGGAAGCTAGATGCATGCTCAAGGCACGCAAGGCAGGAGTCAGGACACCGTGCCTCTACCAGCTGGACAGTGCCAACACCAAGATCACCATGGAGAAGGTCGACGGAATCACGGCGAAACAGTTCTTGCTAGACTGCCTTCAGAGTGAGCGTGCTACTCTCGGTCGATACGGCACCCCTGGGCGCTGCCGTTGTACGGCTCTAGTGTGCTTGTTTCTAGACTTCAGATTGTGGGTCAGTTACACGTACGATGTAGCGCGTCAGGTAACCTTCAATGAATGGAACGGTCGTCCAGCAACCCTCTCGCTCGCAAGCCTTCACTGCACAGATGGCCACAGGGTTTGATTTCAAGTCCATTGCACGAGCTTGCACGTTGTGGTTGTTGGTTTCACAGCTGTTGAAAAAGGCGTCCTTTATTCGGAAGGAATTGGTCCAGCCTGCACAGCGGCATATGGAAGTCTTCAACAGTCTTGCAGCAACGGCCCATTACTTCAGTTTCTGCTGTTGTTCAAAACCTGGCGGCGTCGCACTTGTCTGCCCGAGAGACCAAATGCCTTCAAATCAAGCTATTTTGTAACACCAGGACACCCGGACCGCTTGAACCGTTGACTTGAACGACCAAGTGTTCCCGAACAGGCTCAAACCAAGCTAGTAACACCAGGACACCAGAGCCGCTTGAAACGTTGGCTTGACGGACCAAATGTTCCCGAAACAGGCACTAATCCATTTCACCGCGCGGCCCCTTTACCCTCAACCCTTGTCACGCCCGCCCATTGGTCCCTGTGTCCTTGGGTGGGTCTTGGTTCTTGCTGCCGTTTCCTGCTGTGCTGTGCTATCGGTTCTCGACGACGACCTGCCTGCTAGGGGGAGATTCTGCGGCCGCCCTAAAGGTTGCGGGAGAAATCGGGAAGATGGTGGCCAAGATGCACGACGCTCAGGTGGGGCACCTAGGCCCCAACCCTCGCTTTTTTTTTCAGCAGCTGCTGTTGCCGAATGGTTGTGATTCGCACGCTCCAGTTGTTGCAATCTTCATCATTTCGGTCTCCTACGTAAGTAGGCTGTATCGTTGTTCTGGTCTGTGAGCATATCTGAGGAGCTGAAAGCAAAGCTCCGTGTCTCCGCCGATGCCCTACCTTTTGTTGACCACACGCGGTCTGAGCAGCCCTAATCGTTGAATGGTTATGGGTCCAACGTCCAACCTACCTGTCCCAAGGTGGTGCACGGCGATCTGACAACGTCCAATTTTATGGTTCGGAGCGGTCCTGGAGAAGGAGACGTAGTGGCGATTGACTTCGGCCTTGCTTCGTCGAAGCCACTCCCGGAGGACAAGGTGAGCGTGCAGGAACGAGACTAACGAACAGAAGGGTTTTGACAGCGGATGTGTTTGCCAAGGGCCGTTCCCAACGAAACGTGTCTCGCGTTTCTGCTTATTATGATGCTCGCGCGCTGGTGGTAGTCACGTCCCCGCTTTTTCTGGAATTGTCAAGCGATGATCATCTTAAGGGTCTGTTGAGCTTGTGGCTTGTTTGCTGGCTGAAGCTGGGGCCCAGTGTCTGATTTGATTTGTATGGCCTCGGTATGCGTCACTGTTGTACTTGTAGTTGAGAATCGAAGGAGAGCAACTTGTAGTCGTTGTGCTTCACTGACTGCTCACTCGACCCGTGGTCGCACTGGGTGACGTTGCTTGCTTGCTCGATGCACTATTCACCATCAAGGAGTTGAAAGGTTTATCACCGCCACGCAATGGATAATTGTAGTATGGTCATTTCTTACCTAGCACGTTCAAACATATGCCTTGCAATGGGCAACTTAATTTTAGCCAGACCAACACGATGCAATGGTTGCGGCTATTGTTGAGACAAAAGGCCATGTCTTCTCTCTTCTCAGCGCATTTCTCATCGCGTTCACGGTAGGCGTAGACAGGCTGTTGGCGTAACCTGGTCCGGCATTGTGTCCTTTGTCGAGGTGATGTTACAATGCAATAGTGAAACGAATTGAAACGAATTTTGTCTCTTGGCCGTAAAACCTTCGCAGGCGGTTGACCTGTATGTGCTGGAGAGGGCGTTCATTTCCACACACGAAAATGCGGATCCCTTGGTGAACGAGGTCATGCGAGCCTACAAGGTTTGCCCGAGCCGTGATTTCTTAGCACAGGAATGCTTGCCTGCATCTCATGCATCCCGTGTGCCAGGCAGACCAGGCTCCGATTTCTCTCGCTTGCAACCTGCCTAGCCTGTGTCGGCTGGACTAACGCAGAAAAAATCTATCTAGTGGTGCACGACACCGATGGGTAGTCTGATCATGAAAAAGAGGGTACGTTAACGTTGAGGGCGGGTAGTATGTTTTTCCTCAGTGAGGGTTGCCCGTGAGTGACTGATCGGTGAAGCCGTTTTCTTTCGTTTCATCAACCACGTTGTAGATACAAATCAGCTGGACTGTTAGTGCTCCACATGTTCGTTTGATGCTACCTTTGCCTTCATGTTCTCTCGTTTGCCGGGGCGTTTCATCCACGCTCCCTCTCCTCACTTATGTATCGCATCGTACCATGACATATCAACTATGCCACCCAATTGCCACGAACATACGTATGCTCGTGGTTCGTGTCCTATCGTGTGTCGCCAAAACAGGCGGCATCGCGCAAGGCGGATGCGACGCTATACAAGCTATCCGAGGTTCGACGACGAGGGCGAAAGCGAGAGATGTTTGGGTGATGCCATTTGCTGCGTCCTGTTTTTCCACTGGTCCTGAAGCAAGCGAAAAATTGGTATTGTTGTTACCGTGTGTCTGTTGTCTAGACCAAGAAGACGGAGCGCAAGATGCCTGGTTGTACATCACTCGATGGTGCTCCAAAAGTGTGGCTAACCGACGAATTTTGGCGCAGCGTCGGTCGCAATATTTTTGCTACGCTCGAACCGGATGGGCGACCGACAGAAGAACTGTGTACTGTTGGCGTAGAAGAGGTTGGACTCTTGTTGTATCACGAGGAAGGTGGTGTGCCACATCAAGGGGTTTTTGACATCGTAACTAATGATGGCTCCGTTCCCTAGGGGTGAAGAGAGTGCTCCCAAGGTGTTTACAGTGAGAGGGGCTTGGTTATCTCGAGATTTCTGCTGGGATCTCACGGGACCCGGTAGCACGAATGAAGTTGCTCGTGGAGCTCTTGCCCAAATAAAATCTCTGGACGAGCGCGGCATCATCGCAAGAACATTGGGCTTCGAATATTTGTGAGGTGACACAGTACACAACAGTCCTGTTGCCGAGTTATCGCAAAGACGATGCTGTCTGCGTAGATATGGTCAGTCCAGGACAATTTGTCCATTTTGTTTTTTAGCGATAACTTTCGAACAAAAACGATTTGGAAGGTGAAACTGCTTTGGCCGTGACGGCGGCGTCGAGCTGCGTCGATATCCGATGAGTTTTTTGTGTTTGGACAAAATGCGACTTTTTGGTCATAATGATCCACGGAACCCCTATCCCCCCTCCGACCCCCCACGGGGCCCCCTAACCTCTTCACGGAACCCCCAAATCACACTGTAAATGTCCGGTAAGAGCCCAAACACGCTCTGAACGGGTAACCCTCGCCTCACAGGACACAATTTACAAAAGCGAACACCACGACACAAACACACAAAAATGATTATAATTAAAGTGAACACCACAAATACAAAAACACAAACACCACGACACACACCTCCGTCCACGCTTGCGCGTTTCGGACAGCTTATTTTCCTAGGAATCTCACCAACAACCTAAACGCTTCCTTCAAAGTTAAAGGCGACCGCGACCGCGGGCGCAGCTCGCGCTTTTCGCACAGCGAGAGCAGCGCCCTTTTCTGCTTGAACGATTTGAAATTCTTTTTCGCCCTCTTAATCGACTCAGTACGCAGCTCCTGCGCGGCTGCTAGCGCCTTCTCCTCTGCTTTCTTTTTCTCCTCCTCCGTCTTCCCTGCCCCTGCCCTCGCCAGAACCACGGAGTCACCCCTCTCCGTGGGGGAACGGTGGCTCAACCACTTCTTGAGGTCGCGGACCTCGAGGTAGTCCACCAATCCCTCGTCGTAGGCCTCGAGATACAGCCACGTCACCCTGCTCCACCCGCGAACAAACCCCAGCGGGACGCCACTCAAGGCGCCTGGCAGAATCTCAAGCATATGCGGGAGAGAGTACTCGCAGGAGAGGCGAAGGAGGTGCTTGACGTATCCCCAGTACCGCTCGATGGCGTTGAGCTCTGGGTGATACTTCGCCAAGAATATGCAGATGTGCCCCGCTTTCTTGAACATCTTTTCGATCTTGTTGAGCTCCATCTTGAACGCCTTGAGCTCTGCAAAAACTTTCCTAATGCAGCAGCGACGCCTCATGCCGACACGGTTGCCAGCCGCCCCGCCTTCTGTCCCTCCTCTGGCGAGGCACCGTCTACTCCACCGTCCTGGTCTTCGCGCGCAGCATCATCGAACGCCTGCTGCCGTGCCTCTCCGCCGCGGTTGAACGCGGTTATTGCTGCCTTTATTGCCTTCCTTTCCTCTTTGCACGCTTTGCACTCGAGAACCCGAATGGGAGCCTGGCCAGGAACGTCCCACAAGCCCATCTCCATGAGCAGCTGCTGTCCGCCTTTCGCCTGGCCGATCAGGCCTGAGGTACGGCCGGTAGTCCGTACTTTTTCGCCCGCTTTGAAGTCTCCAAGGCTGCTGCCGAACTTGGGCCTCTTGTATTTTGGATCCTTTTTCGCCGCCTCCCTCTCTTCCTCCTCCAGCTGCTCGGGCGTCTTTGCGGCGTAGACGTGCGTGTCGAAAAGAACCGTATCGCCCTCGCGAAATGTGGCGTGAACAAGGTTCCCCTGATCGTCGAGGAAATCAAGAATTACCTGCCCCCCGCCCGGCTTCTTTTGGATGTGGCTAGCTACCAGTGCGCCTTCCTCGTACGCGGCGTGCCCCGTGGAGTTGTCGAAGACCATCACCATTGGGCGGTGGGGCTCACTCGTCAGCTCGTGGATGGCGATCAACCCCGGAATCTGCTTGCACATTCTGTCGTTGGTCCAGTACCCGTCCGAGTTTTGCCCCACGGTCATGATAACCGCCCCGGTGCGCGGGTCGTTCTTGGTTTTGGTCACTCCGCAGTCAGCTGGCATCGCTTTCAACAACTCCACCGCATCCTGTACGAACTTGACGGCGTGGCCATCCTCCCCGTCGCCCTCCTTCCTGCCGAAGTAGATCCCAGATCGCTCGTAGCGTTGACGGACTACGAAACACTCAGGCACGTCCCCGTCCCCGGTAGCGGGCCCTTGCGCGATGACTTCAACCGCCGGAGCGTACCCGACGCTCTTGTCTTCCTGCATCATGCCCCAGGCCTCCTTCCCGATCACCGCAACGCCTCTGTCCACGCCGATGATGTCAGACACGTGCACGGCCCGCCCTTCCCCCTTCTTCTTGATGGCGGCTCCTTTTTGACCATCCATCCACTGGCAGCCGCCATCGTCGTTCTCCTTCGCCGTCGTTTCGTCGTGGAAGTAAAGGGCCAACACCTCGTGATCAGGGAGTAGGCAGAAGTCTCCTTGCCCGTCACTTGCGGACAAGTCGCGCCGGTTGAACGGCACCCGCGAGGAGTCGACGAATGGGGTTCGCTTGCAGTCGTGGCAGTCGCAGTCGGCAGAGATCCAGTTGAACTCTCCCACACGCTTGCAGTTCCTCCCGCGCAATTGCTCTCCGTCGCGGACGCGAACGTGCTTGTACTCCTCCTTGCCAGCCACCACACGCTTCGCCGGCCAGAAGAGCGCCTCTTCCTTGACCCTCTCCGCCTTGTAGCACTCCTGCACTTCACGATCAGGCACCAGGGTGTAGTGCCCCCCCCGACCGGTCATCTCCAGGTCGCCCGCGTCGACAGAGACACGGGTGCAGCAGCGGTCGTGGCCCGTTGCCTCCGTGAACTTGTCGCCG